AAAAACAATTACACAGAATGTATCAAATCATTATGGAACATTTAAACAAATATTAACTACCCTTTTAATGCCCCCCCCCACCAGTGGCACAGCTGTATGTCTACGGAATTACAACGCTAGAAACAGGGTTTCGATAACCGTGGTGGGCAGAGCACAGATAGCTCATTGTGTAGCTTTGTGCTTAACGTCAAACAAACAAACAAACCCTTTTAATCACTTATGTATGTACGCGGCGTAATTTCAAAAACTGTTTATGGTGCAGGTGGAGACACCAGTTATTCTGTGAGACCCCATGATGACTGGGCATCCTTTCTAAATAAAGTTTATCTTGTTAACCTTGGAAGCTACCATAGATACTGTACTTTATCGTCATCTTCTCTTAACCTCCTTTTTAAAGCAGTGATGATTGCTACAAATATTTTTACTCTACTTTTATTATCACTTTCAACTCATGCTTCTTTATAAGCTATGTTGATTACTACAGATATAAATGTATGGTTAATTATCAGTTGTTTATTTTAATTTATGAACTCCGGTGGTTACTACGGATGGATACAGATATGTGGTTTTCAACTTCTCTGAACTTCTTCTCTTATAAGCTCTAATGATAAGTGAAAAATACGGATGTGTATGGCTACTCTCTTCTCTTATATCACCCCTTTTCGAACGTTGACGGTTACTATAGGTACAGATGTATAGTTATAATCTGCTTTCAAATAACCCTTTTATGAACTCTGATGGTTACTTTATACAGTCTTGGCTCAAAACGATTGCATATTTTGTAACAAATAAGATCATTATTATTAAGATGAAATACAAATACGCTTACCGCTGTCAAACTGAGAAATTCATGTTATATTAAACATCTACATATGTAATTTGTATAATGAGACAGGTTCTATGGATATAATGAACGATTTATTAGAACAGCAAACAATTTTATCAGACACCTGTGGAAAAATGTGTAATTTAGCATTTCACCTATAACAACAAAACCTTACCGAAACATATATAATGAGAAAATATAACATCAAATTATTATAAATAGCGTCTGTAATCTTATATCAGTACATATTAAACATTCAGTACTTGGTTGGCCCTCCTTGTACTCTAATAACCTCTGCAACTGTCGATGAGGTTATTGATGTAACCCAGCGTGATTTCATCCCAACATGTCACTAGAAGAAGCTTCAACTCAGCTACAGTAGCTGGTTTAGAGTCATATTTAGCAATTTTCCGGCTCTGTTCTGCCCAACAGTTCTCAATTATATTACAATCTGGTCATAGCAATTTTGCAACGTCCTCCTGATCGCGAAAGTCTTGTGTAATATGTGCACTGTGGGCAGTGGCATTGTTATCCTGGAACACAAAGTTATTGCCAAACGTTGCTCTAGCATATAGCAGAAATATCATCTCTATGTGATGCCTGTAGGAGGCGCCATTGACGTTTCTCTGGAGGATATGAAGAGCAGTTTTTCTACCATGATGAATAGCTGCCTAAACATGTACTGCACCATCTCCTGTGTGTTCCCTGTGAGTAGACAGTCTTTCATCATCTGTTCTCCAGGCAAACGACGAAAACGAATCCTACCATCATCTTTAACGAGCCGAAAACAGGGCCCATCTGAAAAGATGGCATGTTGCAAGTGTCCTAACTGTAAGTTGCAATGCTGTCTAGCCCAAGTAACACGGCCACGGCGGTAAATTCTAGTTAATATCGGTTAGCAGATAGTCCTTCTTGCAATTTAACCTTGTTTGGGCAGTTTCCTATTCACTGTTCTTCTGGATACCCTGGAAAGAATGTGTTCATGCCATTCCTGTCATAATGTGTAGCAAGACTTCTTTCGACCTTGACGTGTGAACCTGATCAAAACACGGTCATCTTGGGCCGTAGTTTTTCGACGTCTACCAGTAGACTTTCCTGGAACAACGTAGTCCGATGACGTTTCAGGATTCTGGATACAGTACTCTATGGGTACCCTACTGTTCTGGCAATGTCCGTTTGCTTTATACCATTTCTGGACAGTCGAACAATTTGACACCCTATAACTTCTGGCACGTGACAAGGCATGACTCTACACCAAGTACAGAGAAACTGTCTGAACAAAGCGTTGTTCTGTTTCGAAAAAGATCATACCAGAAGCACACCCTTTTATACAAAACAGGTGTGTATGTGTAGTTTGACAAACAAATGCTCAAAACAACTTATACATACCACAATAATAACACGTACATGTTTGTCCGATCATATGCTACCTTCTCTGTTACAACTCGGGCATTTACTAAATAACTGCTCCATACACGTAGATAATAACATCAATATAGAACAGTATGCAAACATTTTGGCAAAGACTGTAGATAGATCTGTGTAATTATTGTCTACTCTGAACTAACATGAAACTAATAGCTGTGTAATTATTATCTTTTTCTGAACTAACATGAAGCTAATAGCTGTGTAATTACTATCTTCTCTGAACTAACATGAATCCAAGAGTTGTGTAATTATTATCTTTTCTGAACTAACATGAAGCTAATAGCTGTGTAATTATTATCTTCTCTGAACTAACATGAAGCTAATAGCTGTGTAATTATTATCTTCTCTGAACTAACATGAATCTAAGAGTTGTGTAATTATTGTCTTCTCTGAACTAACATGAAGCTAATAGCTGTGTAATTATCATTATATTCTCTGAACTAACATGAAGCTAATAGCTGTGTAATTATCATTATATTCTCTGAACTAACATGAAGCTAATAGCTGTGTAATTATTATATTCTCTGAACTAACATGAAGCTAATAGCTGTGTAATTATTATATTCTCTGAACTAACATGAAGCTAATAGCTGTGTAATTATTATCTTCTCTGAACTAACATGAATCTAAGAGTTGTGTAATTATTATCTTCTCTGAACTAACATGAAGCTAATAGCTGTATAATTATTATTATATTCTCTGAACTAACATGAAGCTAATAGCTGTGTAATTATTATCTTCTCTGAACTAACATGAAGCTAATAGCTGTGTAATTATTATCTTCTCTGAACTAACATAAAGCTAATAGCTGTGTAATTATTATCTTCTCTGAACTAACACGAAGAAAAGAGCTGTGTAATTATTATTATTATCTTCTCTGAACTAACATGAAGCCAATGGAAAAGCGTACAACTTATACCAGTCGTGCAACAACCTTGAATAAGTTCTCGTCTGAAGCGTTAAGCTAGAAACATTTAGTTGAAATTACATAATATAATTAACGAAAATCCGTAATGCATGGGTCAATTAACATTCGAGTGTTGACAAATACTTCCAGTCTTATTGTCATATTGCGCAATACTCGATATTCCAAAAAATTACGCCTGTTTAATTGTAATGTTCAAAATATGAGGTTAAGCCTTTAGAACTATGTGAAACGTATCTGTTATATCGTGATGTTTACAGGACCGTATGTGGAGAAAAACTAGATCATGGACCATATCACTACTTGGATGTAGAGGAGTGGACCCTAACCGTAACTGGTCATTCAAATGGAACCGTAAGTACATTTAAGTTTATTTTTTAGTCACATTGTCTGACAGGACAGTAACACAGAAATTCATAATGTAACAAACATTGTAGGTGTTTAATTGCTTAGAAAGTAACTAGAACTGAATGTGAGATTGTGAAGCTGTAAATAGCCTAAAATCAGTTAAGGATGTGATCTTGAAGTGTTCTGGTGTTGACTTTCTTTTTCACATTTTTGTAATATTCTTATAGCATACCAGTGCAACGGTTCGACTTAAGAATTATTATTTATTTTAAGTTGACATTTACGAAGTATTCCATGTCAAGTTTTTATTTTTGTGTAATCTAACTCGAATATTTAATTATTCCTAATCAATATCGTGATCCTTAAGTTGCACTAATCTGGAATATTTGATTAAAAACAAATTCAGTTAGACTGTATTAGGATAGTTCTAAAACGTCATTTTTATTACTTCTTAGGCTTCAGATAGCCTGTTCGTCCCGTAAAAGCATCTGCGTCTTCATATTGATAGTTCTCGTCAAATTCCATTATTCGGTCAGACTAGAATAGCCCAAGAAGCGGTGATAGATACTGTTGATTAACTGTCT